TCCTTCCTGTCACCATGTCTTTGAGGTGACTCATCACTCACCTGCACAGGTGTGACTGTAGCTTGAACCCTGACCTCGTGCTGTCACAGACCTTCTCTTTACCCCTGATCTGTGTCCTGCACCTCAGCCACACCCCCTCAGTCAGCCCCTCCCCTTCCCTGACAGAACCAGGTCCATCCGAGTCTCTGTGTCTGATAGGTTCGTCTCCGAGCCGTCTGTCTCAGTCTGGGTGTCCCTTCGAGGACATCTGGGTTCTCAGGGACTCGTGTCATGGTAAGAGCCCCCGCTAACGTCAGCTCTTCCTCCCCGGCTGCTGTGAAGCTGCTCCGCTGCTCAACGCTCTGCATCAGGACCCCACACACCAAGACCGCCAAACGCCCCTCACTCAGTCTCAAGGCGCCTCCTGTAGCTGCCTGGCATTACCTCGGGCCTCCTCGTGACGTCTCGAGTTGCTTCATGTTGTCGAATAATCGTTTGTACGTCTGTTCGCGCCCTCTGATGTCACTTCCACCATGACGCCGAGTCTGTTTGAGAGGGGAAGCTCCCAGAGAAAGCAAACAGGAAGTTGGCTTGTCAAGCTTTAGTGCTCAGTAACAGAATCTTTTCAACAGTGAGGTGAGCGTGCTCAGGGCTAAGAAATAATCTTAGAGTTCAGGAAGTTTGAGACGTGGTGGTCTGCTGATCGCAGCTGGACGTTTTAGGTTCTTGGACACGTTTCTCCTCTGACTTCACGCCTTCGGACGACAGCTGAAACATCTTCAGGAACCTGAAACAAAGTCCAGTTACCTCCAGCTTCAGCGCCTCAGGCGACCCGAAACTCCACCGCTTCAATGTATGACTGAACGAGATGCTCAGTCCTCTCTGTCAGAGCTGCTACAGCTGAGACCTCACAGCACTCTAAACACAGATGCATCATTTAGTCCCCTCGCTGCTCGTCACGCTGTTGTGTGAAACCAGCTGTTAAAGGTGAGGCCGGAGAGTCGTCCTGGTGTGTCGGGTCCAAACACTCTGAATGATGCGCTGTGTCGCCTGCTTCAGCCTGAACTCGCGCTCTGAGCGTCGGGCTCCCACAGGGCAGTTTACAGAGCTGCGTTTGTGAGCACGGATCAGGTGT